TTGCTACAGTGACGACTGAGAGACGAGAATCACCGCTCCTTCCAGCTTCTTTCCACTCTCCCTGGCACCTTCAACGAGCAGGACCTACTGGCCCTCGATGCTTACGCCCATGCCAAGCTCAGAGGAAGCCACATATTTTTTGTGAGGATTCTTCTACATATGCCCCTCAGGACCCTCAGATAAGTCGACTTAATCAGCCGACACAGGTTTGGGTCTCGAATGCTTCTCTTACCATCTTGGGACCTTGAAGCCCTTCTTGGCTAGAATTTTGGGATCGACGTCGAACTGGCTCATACCATCAGCCATGATATGCCTTAACTATATGGGAAAACCTAGCAGCAAGAAATGAAAATGTAAACCCTATGATCCCATTTACAAGGCTAGTTGGGCACAAAATCTAAAGGGAAGTTAACTATCAAATTAATTTTCTTAATTTTGGTGCCACTAATTATTAATTAGTTTCTCCATCCTTATCATAGCTGTCATTTTCAAGGAGCAAGAAAAGTAAGAGAACTAATATGTATGTACTAAAATTATCAACACAAATCTCAAAGAAATCAAGCTACCAAGGACGAAAGTCGGATGATCAATGCATCGAACTTAATGAGCGTGGTCCGTGTTAGCTAGCCGTAGATAGACCACTCGATCGAGTCGGCCAACACGCAATGCCGACAGATCCAATCGAATGACCATGCCTATGGTCCCTGCACCTCTGCTTCTTGCAAGGAGGTCCGGTCACCACTGACTTGCCAACTAGCTTTATCTCGACAATAGCCATCGCCACACAACATGTCTCCCCAGTCGACCAAACCTAGATTTGCCGACCAGTTGATAACCTCATATTCAATTCAAATTGTAATACAAATTTAGTATTAAATCAACACATTAACTGCGTTAAGATAGATTTTCATAACATTTCCCTCCTTTCTATAATTGTTTGAGTACGCCCCTATAAATATGAAAAAAAAAAAAGATAAATAAAGGGACCTTGATCTGATGGCTTTTTACTGCCCTCTCTATTTAGAAGTTCTAAGCTTTTACACTCTCTCTCATTCTCTTTTTCCCAGCTCTAACTCTTGAGTCGTATATTTTCGAAGGACAATTCATGATCCAACAATTTAGAGCAAATATTTTCATTTCACTTTATTTTATTAAAAATTATCATATATGTTGGTAGCTTACTTAGTCGTGACTTCTAACCTTTATCTTATTCATTTTTATTTGAGAAAAGAGTAGGACTCACATTAAATAAATGCTATTAGTTATTTTTGCGTGTCTGATCTTTAAGTAGGTTATTGTTTTACATCCATTATTATGACAATTATGATGATGTACACGTTTTATTGATGAAGAAATATATCATAATTAATGTGTACATTGTCTTGATTGTATATTTTGCGATATGATTTAAATGAATTTTGATTGTTTTTATTTTATAATATTTGATGATATTAACAGTCATAGGTTTGTTAAAATTGAAATAGAAGAAAAAATTATTTATAACAATTGAGACTTATAACACGATGTGACCCACTTTAATATAACGATTTGCATTTAGTCGAGTTGCGACACCACAAAATACACAAAATAAAATAAAAGCAGCAACTTACAATCAACAAAATTTACAAAATAAACATTAGAGACACATCAAAATGATGTAGTCATATTTGACAAAATAAATAACTTTCATCATTCATACAACAGAGGAGCGTTATGTTAGGTATGAATTTCTCCTAAGGGGTTGGATATTCGCTAGGGAGGAGATTTGTTAGGTATGGCTCATATACCATAAGTGTGATAGATGCTGGAGCGGAGCGGAGCCCACGAGCGGAAGGATCTGTCCAATCGGGAGAGTTTCATTATGTGGGTTGAGATTTCGAGGGCAACAACCCGCGGTTTGATACATGAGTAATTTAAATAATTACATATTGTACTATATGATTATATATATGTCATGTTTGTAACCCTAGGTGAGTCTGAGATTCTGAATGTTTTATTCTGTACTCTTTTTCTGAATATTGAAAAAGAAGTTGTCATTCTGCTCCAGATGATGTATGCATCTTTGCCGAACCTTATAAGTCTCTGTGCGTTCTTCTAGATTTGTGTCGATTCTTATCTTTCTTCGCCCTGAATTTCTCAACACCTTCAATATTATTTTGTAAGTTCATTGGAATGACCGGAAAATGAATTAATAATAAGACATAAATTCTCTACATCATCAATTTGTCGCAGTCACAACTTCTATGCAGATTATTTATCTTTATTTTTGTCTTAATAAAAGAGTTTGAAGTGAATTATTACTTAATTAACTATGGCTTGGTCGTCATGTGAAGTGGCCAAACCCTTGTGAGCTGTCCTGATCTTCTAATGAATATTTTAGCATCGTTTTTGAACCTTTTCAACTGAATAAAATAAAAAGAAACATAGATTGCTATTCTTTCATGGCATGATGACATTTGGATGGTATAAGATTCAGCATAATGATTGACATAGAATTAATTCAATCTTTTGATTTTTAAATGCACAGCTGATTTCCAGAAGTAATTTGATTAATGATCACATCTTTTTCTCAAATATGTATATATATTTATATATACAGTGATCTTCGACAGCTATATCTAGGCTGTAAATTTTGCTCGAATATTGTTAATTGTTCGAAAATTGATTTGAATTTTGGCTTGAATCAAGATCGGATATGAAGAAAAGAGACAAGCTATAAGCCGAGACTTGAGATTAGTTTTTTAAGCTAATTTTGTGTCATACAAGAACAGGCTCAAGATCAACTCAAATTATTTTTTAATTCAGAAATATTATATATATAATGTTAAATAAAATTTAATATAACGAGCCATGAGCCAATTTCAAGTTTGAAAGAATCTAGATAATTCAATTAGCGCCAATTTGATTTGATTTTGAGCAGGATCAAGCTTATTTCAAGCAAAAAAGAATCCAAACAAGCTCATTTCTATTTCAAGCAGGGAGGAGCTTGATTCGAAATTGAATATAATGGGTCACAAGCTGATTTCGAGCCACACTCAATCCATTCGAGTAGATTTCAAGTTTATCCTAGCTCGGCATGAAATTGAATCGTTAACAACCTTAAATATATTATGGCTAGCTTGAATCCTCTCTTATTGAGAATTAGCCTGTCTAATACTTCAAAATTCCAATTTGTGAAGAAATTGATAGATGATGTTCTCCTTAATCAAGGGACCAAAGTTTCAAGCACATTCTTAAATTAAGTCTGTTTGGGGCAGCTGCAGCTGGTTGGAGAATCAATTGTGAAGCTACTGAAGAGGAATTTGTTTTTCAAAAAGTTGTGGTGGCTACTAAAATTTTATTTTTTGAGAAAATTTGACCGTAGCTTTCTAATAGTCATCGCAAGCAGTTAGGTACGGTGGAAAAAGGTAATTGAGAACATAGACAAGATATTGTTTTGTCAATATAAAAAAATTGTGGTGTGACACCACCACACCGCACCGCTACTGCAATATCGCCCCAAACACACTAAATTTTAAGAAATTTTACATATGTAGCCCTCAATTCTTTTGGATTTATGCATATCATACCTAAATTAACATTTTTTGGCTTCATGTGGAATCACTAATCCTTCCTTTGATGATTTTGAAGAAGCTATTAATGGCTTTAAAACACTTCATATAAGAAAAATCTCTGCAGCCCGGTATTTCTGCTACCTGGTTCATCATTTTTGGAGGGCTCGGAATGCGAAATGCCACAATCATCTACTTGGCACCCCTACTATCGTTGCTGCTACCATCCTCGAAGCGCTCACATTGACCGGTATCAGGAGCCATGGGTTGCTAGCCAGTCCTCCGTATCAATGTTAGCAGGTAGAGCTGTCAAAACACTCATTGTTCTCAAACAGCTTGTTAAGCAGCTTTTGTTTAACTTGTTTGTTAAGCTTAACGAGCCGAACACGAACAAAAATTTGTTTGCTCATGTTCAGCTCAAAGTAGCTCGAAAAGAAATAAATAAAAAAAATATAAATATGCTCAATATTCTGCGGTGTTATTGGTGTTATAACACCCAAATAAGACCGTGGTGTTATTCCACAAAATACGTTCTACCAAACCAATTTCTATTTAAACACGAGCCGAACATGAACAAGAATATGTTATTTGAGTCAAATATGAACAAAATATTCACGAGCCATTCCGAATGCTATTTCGAACACGAGTCAAAATGGAACGAGCCAAACACGAGTCGAGGCTCAGCTCGCTCAAGCTCGGCTCATTTACAACCATATTAGCAGGAAACTGATTGGATCATTGGGATAGCACACAAGTCGAGCTCAAAGCTATCAAAATTTTTCAACATTTTTGTGAACCATGGATGATGGAGGTAAATGACATTAACATTGAGGGAGACAACTACAATATCATGAACTTTTTGAATAATAAAGAAGTAGACTTGGTGTCAAAGACCAAATAATGCATTAGATTTTGCTTTTCTTTTAAGATTGAAACATGTTTTGTTTTTTTATCTACCAAGAGTATGTATTAGAGCCTCTCATTATTGTGCTAAACACGCTCGTAGTGATTCTATTGTTTTGATGCATATGAATGATGATAGGGACTTATCTACCCTTTTGGCAGAAGATATGTCCACTTTTGCATAAAATAGTTCTATTTTTTGCATAGTTTTGTAATTTTGATGTATTAATGTAAATTAATATTTCAGAGAAAAAGTAGAATTTTAATATTAAAAAATAATAATTAGCATTATTTTTATTATGATACCAAATAATTGAGTGCTATACATGTAAAAATGAAAGTTTTACTCTGAGATACATAAATCCATAAATCCATAAGAATTGAGTGCTGTGCATGTAAATGCCCTAAATTTTAATTGAGTTATCCGTAGAACTCAACTTCCTGAAATAAAAAATTTCAAATTTTCATTACTTCTGATAGAAATTCATTAGAAATAACGGCAAAAAAGGGCGAAAAAAATGAAACGGTTAGTACTCAGAAAAAGGAAAGTAGGTGCAAAGGAACCTTTTTTAATTGTTCATCGTGACCAGGAACCAAACCCACAACCTCCCCCTTCCAGTACTCTCATGACTCCCACCATTTTCTTTACGCAACGAACTCACAGATCTCTAGAAGGCTTATATTTCAGCTTTGACTCTGAGATCATGATCAGTTTGTTGTTTTTTGCTCGAGGAGAAAATGGAGGTAGTTCCGATTAAACCCAGCACCCCACACCTTTAGTCACCTCGGCTTCTTCCCTTGCAGCTTAAGGGACGAAATTCCTCCTCTTATCGCCAAGATCATTCGCCAATCGCTTTCAAGATCCGTTTTTTTCAGTTAATTTATGATTTATAAGAGCAAATACGGCCATAACTCATCATTCTGGCCGTCTAATCCTCAATCGCAAGCTCCAATCCTCCTGTCCGATAATTTCTCCTCTATTTTAGAGCACGAAGTCTTAAAGATAAAGTATTTTGCTTTGCTTTCTTCCTTTTTTTTTATCAGCCTCTTCGGTGAGATCCGGTAAGGGGAGGAGCCATTGAACTGGCGGTCCTGATCACTTTACTGGTCGAGATTGTGGCACATCAAGCGTCAGCGACGTTTTTTCTGTTTTAACAGCAACACCCAAGCCGTCGTCCATCACTCTTTTCTGATTTACGGGAAACCCCCTCGAAAAAAAGCTATTTGCTTGAGCTAGTAGGGTTCTTAACGTCTTTGGAGTTAAAGAAAGCTGCAAAAGAAGTGGATTTGGGTCTTGTAGAGTTCAGAAAGTAACCAAAAAAGGGGCTTTGATTGCGGTGTGTGAAGAATGGGAGCGATCAGCGGGGAGGAGATGCAGCAGTTTGAAGCGGTGGTGCCAATAGATGAAATGGACGGCGGCGGCGGCGGCGGTGGAGGGGGGCATCTGGAGAGGATATTAGTGTCGGTGAGATTGAGGCCGCTGAGCGAGAAGGAGATCTTGGCCAACGATCCCGCTGAATGGGAATGTATCAATGACTCAACAATCATCTTCAGGAGTGGCTTCCAAGACAGGCATTTGACTCCCATTGCCCACACATTCGGTGAGCATTCGGTTCTCCGTTTATTGCTTCTTGTAATTTCATCTATGATTTGATTGTTCCGGCTTATCAATTCGGGCATTTCTTTTGTTGTACGCAAAACTCTTGTCTTTCTTCTCTAGAGAAGGGCAATATCTCCTTCATAAAAGCTGAAAATATAGGGAGGAAGAACAAGACCTGATATTTTTTTTTCTGAATCTCTAGTTTTTCTCCATTTTTCTTCTTCAATTCTTTGATGGAGAACTTTAGATGCCCTGATCTGTTTTTCTTGCTGAATTTCTAAGCGTGTAGTGTGTTCCTTGTGGAGCGTTACTTTTTCTCCAAGGAAGCTGCTCTCATACTTGTGATTAGAATGAAAGATTTGTTCATGATTTATATTTGGTTTTTATTCTCTCTTTTTAAGCTACTATTTGGTTATATGATAGACAGAGTATTTGGAAGTGAAAGCACAACAAAGCAAGTATATGAGGAAGCGGCAAAGGAAGTTGCTCTTTCTGCTGTTAGTGGCATCAACTGTAAGTAGAGAAGACTCCTTACAGAGTTAATGTCCACTTTTTAAGACATTTTCTGATGAATAATGATTGCTAAATCTTATATTGATTCAGCAAGCATCTTTGCCTATGGACAAACAAGCAGTGGAAAGACATACACGATGACTGGAATCACTGAGTATACTGTTGCAGATATATATGACTACATAAAGAGGGTAATCTCTTTTCTGAAAGAATTAGGACACCATGTTTTGTGCTTTCTTTTTCAGTCAGCATTGATATTTTGTTTGATTTTACTATCTTTCTCCTGCAGCATCCAGAGAGAGCTTTCTCCCTAAAGCTCTCGGCAATAGAAATTTATAATGAAGCTGTGAGAGATCTCCTCAGCTTGGATGGGACTCCTCTCAGGCTTCTTGATGATCCTGAGGTATAAGAACCTGTTACTAAGATTATCCATTTTATCCTTTAGCCAAACTAATCTTTTTTTTTTTTCCTGACCTGATTTTTTGTATCCTCAAAGTTTTTTTTTTCCTGATTTTTTGTATCCTCAAAGAGAGGGACAATTGTGGAGAAACTTAAGGAGGAGACACTTCACGATCCGAGCCATCTAAAAGCACTACTTGCTCTGTGTGAAGGTGTAAAAATCAGAACTTTTGCAGAAAGAAGTTGTCTTTAACTTTTTTGATTTCTTGTTTGAGTTGACTTTGCTGTTTATCTTTGCCCATAGCTCAAAGAAGAATAGGAGAGACCTCATTGAATGAAATGAGCTCCAGATCCCATCAAATACTTAGACTGGTTTGTCCGCTTATTAACATTAACTTCTTTGGTAATGTTTTTTGACTGAGTTCTAAATTATATAATGCATCGCTTCCCTTCTGCAGACAATTGAGAGTTCTGCTCGTGAATTCTTGGGGAAAGACAATACAGCTACGCTTTCTGCTAGTGTGGTAAAACTATATTTTTTTTGTTTAATGTCTTCTTCTGGCCATTGATGAATAGAATTGGCTTATTGAGTGTTGGTTTGTTCTTTGGATGCAGAATTTTGTTGATCTGGCAGGCAGCGAGCGTGCGTCTCAGGCATTGTCTGTTGGTACTAGGCTGAAAGAAGGCTGTCACATTAATCGAAGTTTGCTCACTCTAGGAACTGTTATACGTAAGCTAAGGCAAGTGTACTTTGTTTATCAGTTATTTTGTTTTCGATTGATGGTTTTTTTCACCATAAGGTTGGAGCAATAAATTTCATTACTTGAATACAAGGAAAATAGTCTTATTTACCAAATTAAGATTTGGATTAGAAGTTAGAACAGTAGATGGGCGTTCAGGCACTGATCCAGAGTTAGTAGTAGGAAAGAAATATTAAGAGAAGAAAGAAGCAATTTTTATAGATTATTTAAGAAGACAATGTGTACAGAAGGGTTTAGTTGGCCTATGCTAAGGGATGGGAACAGGAGATTGTGCATCTGAGGGAGGGAATTGAAGTGCAGTGGCGAATTTTGAAAATTAAATGTTTGGGAAGAGGCCAATATTGCTTCTTTGGAAGTTATTGGATGGAGGACTTGGGTCTGTTTGGAGCGGTTGCAACTTTTTTGTATGGATGATTATAAAGCTATTGTGGCAAAATCAAATTTTCATAAGGTTAGACAACAATTTTTTTAGATCCACCACACTTTAATAAGATCTAGTGGCAAAAAATAGTATCCCAACACTGAAATTTATAGGAAGCAACAAGTAAGTTGTTTCACAAAGAATGCCTTGATGATTGTATGAAATTCAAAGCATCCAGGAAGTTTTTGCGAACACCCTTTAGTAAATCTGGAAGGACTTCTGTAGGGGATGTAGAAGATTGAATGCTTTTAAATTGTTTTTTTTTCTCTTTTCTTCCACTAGAATTACTGATAAAGTATTTCTCATATAATTTCTTCAGCATTGTGCATTTCATGAAGAACTTACACAATTTAGTGCACAAGTTGTTTGAATTCCTAACATCAGATGATTTATGATCGAATTCTCTGTGTCTGGTTTCTTGTGCTTTCCCTCCATGATGCAGTAAAGGAAGAAACAGTCATATTCCATATCGAGAATCTAAGTTGACACGCATACTGCAACCATGTTTAGGAGGCAATGCGAGAACTGCCATTATCTGCACAATCTGTCCCGCACGGAGTCATATCGAGCAATCTAGAAACACGCTTCTCTTCGCAAACTGTGCGAAAGAAGTCGCCACGAATGCTCAGGTCAATGTTGTGATGTCTGACAAGGCGCTGGTTAAGCATTTGCAGAAGGAATTGGCAAGGTTGGAGAATGAGTTGCGGTGTCCGGCATTAGCCCCGAACAACACTCATTTTGAAGCACTATTGAGGGAGAAAGATGCTCGAATCAGAAAGGTTAGGAGGTTTTTTTCTAGTAATGCCTATTGCATGTTTTTAGAATATATACATTATTATGTTTCTTGTGATTTTAATGACTTATGCATTACTTGAAGCAATTTCTATATTGCACATCTCCTATGGAACTTCAGTTGTTACTTTGGATCTTATTGGTTGTTTCAGGAGTAGTGGTTCTTAGTGGGATGTGCATGCTTAGGCAAAATTTATACATTCAACTAGGTTGCATGCAGTACTATGATTTTGTAATTTAGAGGGGCTGTAATGCATTAATGTGTATGCAGAGATGAAGAGATGATAGGACATTAATTTATGACACTTCTATTATTGAAAATATAGAAACACATGGTAGGATAAATAATTGAATTTTTTGAGTTATTTAAGTGGTCGATTTTAAAATAAAAGACAAGATATGACTAAAGTTATTGAAGTAATTTACTTTCAGAGTTAAAATTTAATATTTAAGACACATACATTGGATATATGCACGCATGTTTTTTATTTTTTATTTATTTTATTTGGACGTGTGTTTGACAAATGCCTACGTTCGTCATCGCTCACTTCATTGTTAATGAAGTGCCAGTGCATCATAGGGAGCAATATTAGAGATACAAGTTTTCATAATCATTAGTGAAATTTTCGACGACTTTATTGCACATAGTCATAAATTAGATGAACCTATGTAAAATTTTTATGCTTTTCCATGTTTATCTTATTTCTTGTGTCATTTTTCATTCTATGAGTTTGCTTAAATTTTGTCAATCTCCAAATATATTCAAGTATTAATTTAGAGAGATTTACATACCTACCACCGAGTTTCTATGTATTAAGATATCAACCACTTGAACTTCAGTTTTTACCTAATAACCACCCAACTCATGTCAATAACATAGAAATCGTGTGGTTTGTATGCAGAAAAATTTAAAATTGGGTGGTAGATATGTGTTGATACATAAGAATTGGGTGGTAGGTATGTGAAGTTTATGCGTCCTTTATTAGATTATTTACAACTTATTTCATGCAGTTGGAGAAAGAAATCAAGGAGCTAATTCAGCAGCGCGACTTAGCTCAGTCTCGACTGGAGGATCTCTTACATGCAGTTGGGGATGATCATTCTTCAAGACAATTGGTACCCCCTTTCTTGTTGAGTTCATCAAATCAATATTTACTGCACAGCCATCATTTATATATCATATTTACATGTTTTTATCTCAGTTGGAATCGCCAAACCAATCATCAATATCTCATCCATTCAATGTTTATGATGATGAAAGTTCAAAGTCTGAGCCACCAGAAGCTGCTCACAATGGTTCAAAATCTGGGTTTGCCAAAATAAGAAAATTTGAGAGCAAAAACCAAAGCAGAAATCATCATGGTTTTTCAGAAGATTCAAAAAATGGAGATTTCCCCCCCAAACTCTCTCAAAGTAAACATAGATCACACAGATGGAATCCCACTCACGCCGAAGAAGACGCTGATCAAGATGCTTCTGAAAATTCTGAGGAACTTTGCAAAGAAGTTAGGTGTATTGAGATGGACGGAACTGGCCAAAGAGAAAACTCTAATTTTTCGTTGCCAGAAGCAAGCGAAACCCGGCCAGTCCAGACTTCTAATGTCGCCAGGAATGGAGAACATGAGCCTAACCCCACAGGTTCACCATTTTTGACACTAGAACACCATCTACATAGTGTCAGGGCATCGCATCCCGACGAATCTTTTCTACGGTCTTCATCTCGAGAATTACATGGTTCTGGGGCCATGTTACCAAGGAGAAGCAGAAGTTGCAGGGCAACATTTTCGACGAGCTACTCCCCTGGATTTGCAGAAGCAGACCAGTCTGACTATACACCCCCTACCAGCTCTCTGAGAGATTTCCCCGGCAGGCCTCGGGCGCTTCAAGGACGACTTGAAATGCTAAATCATGATGCAGAAAATGGAAGCTTTTCAAGAGACGATGCTTCCCGTGTCCTTCTTAAGGAGCAAGATGATGCGCGTTCTTCTAAAGAAGACATAACCACCATCCAGGACTTCGTTTCAGGATTGAAAGAGATGGTTCAGGTTCATCAAAATCAGCTCGTTGATGGTCAGGTAGAAAAAAAAAACTGTCTTTTTCATTACTGATTCCAATTTTTATCGAGTCTGAAAATGTTAAAAATGTGTTCTTGATCTATCAGGCTGGCAGTGAAGTGAGTGGAACAATGAAGAGTGTTGGCCTGGATACAATCCCAGACCCCATGGATTCTCCATCACATTGGCCACAGGACTTTGAGAAGAAGCAGCAAGAGATAATCAAACTCTGGAATGAATGCAATGTTTCCCTGATCCACAGAACATACTTCTTCCTGCTCTTCAAAGGCGATCCGGCTGATTCGATTTACATGGAAGTTGAGCTCAGGAGACTATCCTTCCTGAAAAGAACATTCTCGCTGCGAAATTCTGGCAGAATACCGGGCGACAACGGTCGGTATGTTACTCTAGAATCAAGGTATGAAATTGTTTAAATAGTTGTCTTTTAAGTCCGCTCATGCACTGTGATTTCTCAGCTGAATGTGAAGGAAATTGTGATTTCTGACAGCATGAGGACTGTGCAACGAGAGCGCGACATGCTTTGCCGGCAAATGCTGAAGAGACTGGCGACGGAAGAACGGCTGAGCCTATATGTGAAATGGGGGATCTCTCTGAACTCCAAGCAGAGGAAAGTTCAGCTGGCTCGGCTCCTTTGGACGAACACAGGCGATCTGGAACATGTTAGGGAGAGCGCATTAACAGTTGCTAAGCTTATTGGACTGTTGGAATCAGGGCATGTTCTCAAGGAGATGTTTGGGCTGAGCTTTTCACCTCAGAATTCATACAGAAGATCACATAGATGGAGGCATGGGATTTATACTTTGAAATGATGAAAGTTTTCTAAGGTTTTCAGATCTGAAACTTGTTTTGTTTTTTTTTCAGTTATTTCTGAGATCATATTCGATTTTTTTTCTTGTTGTTTAAGATTACATATATAATTCTCCCTTCAGAAAAAAGAAAATTATGAATTTGGAAGAATTTAGAACTGTGTTTATGGTAATGCAAATCACAGGTTTTAGAAGATTTGAAGCGTACTAAGCATACTGTAATGCCAATAAACTCATTTTGGTGACCACATTTTCACAAGAAAATATCAAATCCGTCTTCGGACGATGGTGTGGATCACTCCATAGGCACGATCCATGCCGTCAACTACAAATCTGATTTACAACACATAATATTTTCTTCATTTTCGCTTAGAATGCTGCTATCTTCAACAATATGTTTTTAGTTTTTTTTTTAATTGTTGTATTTAAAGAAAAAAAATTTATAATATCTAAAAAAAATTATTATTATAATTATTTTTTATGATTTGAATGAGTTAGGAATTAGCAATTTAGCCGAGCCAAGTTGGACTCAATTAAAACTTTGTTTCATAATTTGCTCGGTGAATTGAGCTTGAGTTGATCATCACTCAACTAGTGAGGCAGCTCATTTAAAAATTATAATATAAAGTACATATAAAATATATTTAAATTTTAATTTAAATATATTTTGAACTGCTCAATACATTTAAAAATCATATTTTACATATTATATGAAATGATTTCTCATTATATTATTTTTTTTACTTTTTTCATTAATTTTGTCATTATGATATAAAGATTATATAAATGAAGAATATTATCTTTAATAATAAATTAGCAAGTTTATGAGTCAACTCGAACTCAATAATTTTTCGCGCTTTATAATGAGTTTCTGATGAGATTTCGTTTGAGAATAGTCAGATGTCACATTGATTCCGATCAAACTTTTTGATGATTCAATTAAGTTAAAAGACTCTGAAGGTACAAACAATACGTTAGAGCCCCGATCCTTCTTTGAAGAGGCTATTTTTTTAAGAAAATTATTGTGTAAAAACTTATGTGAGTCAACATCATATTTTTAGGAATATTTTATATATATACCCCTCAATTTTATGTTTCTACATATCTAATTCTTAACCTTCATTTTTTTTTTTTTTGCATACATAACTATATTATTTGTACATGAAAAAGTACATTTAACGTTTAAAAAGTAGAAAAATGTGATATTTTTAAGTGATATATAAGATTTGAATGGTATAAATATAAAAAAAAAAGTTAGGTTTAAGGGTTGGATATGTAAAAAATTAGGCATTAGGTGATAAGTAAATGCCATTTAAAAAATAACTATGTAAAAATTTATGTGAATTCATGTCTTTCATCTTATAATATTTTGGTTGTAAATAACTACAATACATAATTGAAATGCTAAGATTTAGGACTACAAATCTTTTAGCCATAAGAGCATATCTCTAACTCATAAACATATATATATATATATACATATTTGCAATCAATACATATTTGCAATCAATGAGCCAATCAATGAGCATATTTCTAAATTAGGAAATAAATTAATTTACAATCAATATATATACATAAGTATATCAAGTTGAAAATACTTCTAGAATCTTAAAGATTTATATATAAGTCACACAATTCTTATGTATTTACTAATTTTCTTGCCCCTAAATTTTAAGTTTTTTACATCCATACATATATTATTTATGAATGAAAATGTGCATTTCACTTTTCTTAAAGATTAAACCGTTGTATTTTTCATGTGATTTGAAAATTTTTGGTGCTATACTGGTAAAAACTAAAATTTAAGTGTGAGATATATAAATATAAAGAAATTGGGTGATAAATATATATATAAATTAATATATATTTAAAAACTAATTATGTCAAATTTTATGTGAGTCCACATCATATTTCTAATACAGATGTGAATGTAGGGTTGTAAACGAGCCGAGCTTGAGCGAGCTCAAGCTGGGCTCGTGTTCGGCTCAATTTAAATATTCGTGTTCGATTTCGGCTCGTGTTTGACTCGAAATTGGTTCGTTAAAATTAAATTGAAAAAAAATAAATGCAAAGCGTTGGACTTGAACCCGGACCAAATGTATGCAAAAGATGACGCTAATCACTTTACCACCATGGTGTTATGATTTAAACTTAGATATAAATATATATAATATATTATTATATAAATAATTATATATATATTTTTTATTTTTGAGCTAAAACGAGTCAACAGGAGCAAACAAAGAGCTGTTCGTGTTCGGCTCATTTATAATTCAAACTTTAAAAATTTATTCGTGTTCGACCCGTTGAGCTATTCACAAATATTAAGCATTGAGCAATTAATTAAAGGGATCAATCATTTGTAAGAAAAGTAGTACAAGGTGGTTAGCCATGATGTACGACTGACTTTTCTATGTACCAACTCCACTATTATAATAAACTTTGGATAAGAGACTCCAACATAATTATGAACTAATTATAATATTTCTGTTGGGTTTTATATTTGTATATATAGAGGCTTTTATGACTTCCACGACTATTTTCTTATGTCGTTTAGGTATATAGTTCGCTATTCTTCAAGGTATATAATATATATATATATATATATATATATATAGTATTTCTGCCCAATCTATAAAATAAGGCTCATTCTACCCATGCAAATGATTGTAATTTTTTAAAAAAATTTTCAAGATTTTTTCTTGGAGATAATTGATGCAAAAGATCTGAAGAGAAATAAAATAATCTACATATGATTTTGACTTATGTTTAAATTGCATGTAATCAACTAACTTCAGAAACCGATTTGGAGGTTTATAAAATGAAAAATATGTTAAAAGGACTTATTACACGACCTAAAGTAGATTTTCTAAGCTACTATCTTATGGTCCTGTTAGATCGGGCATTTTAAGTAATGAAATATTATCATGCACCTAAAACGAAATCTTATCCTACCAACCACGTCATCGAAGTGATAGATTACTTCTCAAGAGGACCTCACAAGCTCCTTTGTTGGGCTCGCATGTACTTATCGAGCTCCTCCATTGAGCTCACTGTATACATTAAACTCGCCTGTCGAGCTCGCCTGCATTTGTTAATTTTCACCTTCAAGCACATTTACCGATCATTCAGAGTTGCCTGAACGACAGAAGGAAGGGGACTAGAACCCATCACTATCTATGCCTATTTATGAGTTGTCATACACCCATTTTGATATTTTTTAATAAAAAAGTCTCATATACACTTCATACAGTGCGGCTTATAGTATGTGACTGTCATTACTACCTCAAGGGGGGCAAGGAAAAAGAAGGGGTGGAAGGGATTTTATCCATACGATACATTTTGATAAAACATAGCACATAATAATATTTTATTATCAAATAAAGTATACGTTGAGTCATTAATTTATGACGAATTATATTCCTAATTAATTATTAATGTTTATTCAAAAGTGATTAATGTGTCTTTGACCTTCTTATAGAAGAAAATACTAATTTATGATTTGTAAAAAAAAAAAACAATGTGAATGAGAGAAAAAAAAAGTTTTAATTTATGTAGTTGCAATTAAAGCATTGAAGAAAATTTTGGGAAAATAATTTTTTTTATTAGACTTTGACCCAAAATTAAAAGCCGGGTGGTTACGATTTTAATGATGTCACTAATTATTACTGAGAATATTTATAAAAATAACATTTTTTTTAATTTATTAAATAAATATCAAAGTTTTAAATATAAACTTTTTAAGATACAAACAGCACAATAAGAACTTAATGAGTTATTAAGAATGAAAGCTAATAGTTTTGCGATGCTCTTATGTTGATGATATTAGTGTAACTAAAAGGGGGCATTTCCATGCATAAAACCTAATTGTTATGTATTTATATGTCTAAAACCTATATTTAAAAAAAAATAAAAAATAAAAACATTAAAGATAAACAGTGATTTTTATATGTATAATTCTTACGTACGCAGGACTGTGTACGTCGGTAGGTTATAGGGAGGGTATTGTGGGGTTTACATCCGCGTTATACCCCCTTGTAACATACCTGTAATTTACAAATATATGAAAACAAAAGCGCGGAACTTACAAGTTATAGTTAGGTTCGGAGATGTTACAGGGGGTATAACGCGGATATAACCCCCAATACACTCACTGTAATCTACCGACGTACGAAAATATTTCTCCTGTTTAAGACAACTGAAAGTGTTTGAAGAAGCCTCAGAAAAAAATACTGTTAGAAGAACTGCATCGGCTATTATAATTTTTCTTTTTCAAAAAGTCAAGACGACAGCTTTCTAATAGCTACTCGGCCGAAGAAAATTTTAAAACAATATTTGTAAGAAAAAAATTTAGATTAAGCTATTCATTTAAATTTAATTAAGGAAATTTCTATTTTATGATAATTTTTCTTAATGTCCGGTCTTGATCCATGCTGTATAAAAAATACGGGAGATTTACATACCTACCACTTAATTCTTATCTATCAACACACCAACCACATAAAGTTTAATATTTACCTATAGACCACCCTATCTATACTGAAAAAGCATAGAGACACATAAGAATTGGGTGGTAAATATGCAAATGCCCCGAAAAATATTGATGTCTCTATTATTTTTCATTAATAGAAATATAAATTAATCTTAATTAGTGAGTTTAATGTCCACCATAAGAATGCATAATTAGTAAAGCTAATATTTTTTTATCAATATATCATAATTTAAAAATAAGAGGATTAACGAATCTCAAAAATGTTTTATTTAATTTGAGACAAATATAACATATATATATATATATATATATATACATATTCTGAAATAAAACTAGGAATTTTATAATTAATCCTAATTATATAAAGCATAAAAAATGAATAAAAAATATATTTCACTCCAAACAAAGAACGAGATATTCGTCATATCATCAATCCTTTCCTTGAATTAGTTTTTTGTTTTATTAAAATAACTCCATTTTTAACGTTAAAGGCCCACATTCGGCAATGAAAGGTGTTCCCGCCCTCTATTACATTCTGTGCATAGGGCTGTAAACGAGCCAAGCTTGAGCGAGCTCAAGCTTGCCTCGTGTTTGGCTCGTTCGAAATAACTCGTGTTCGAAATCGGCTCGTGTTCGAAATCGGCTCGTGAACAGTGTGTTCGTGTTCGGCTCGATTTAAATATTCGTGTTCGTGTTTGGCTCGTGTTCGGCT